TTCTCTTCCAATTTGTAATATATACATTACATTATTAATATGCCAACTTTTATTCCCCTTCACCAATAATTAAAGCTGCTATTTTCAATTCCCTCATTGTCTAGACTGAATTTTTATATTTCTTATGTGGTCATTATTTTTGTTTTCTTTATGTTCAGCACTTTGCACTTTCTTTTTTGACCTTCCTTATTAACTCTTCCAGTTCCTGAGCGTCTTCTGCTAATATTACGGCGTTCGTCCGCATATCTTAGCTTGTTAATGCTGCTTCCTCCTATCTTTGCTCCGCCTTTCTCTGATTCCAATTCTGCTTTCCTTATGATGTTTTCAACATCTAAGTTAAAGAAGTAGGGAGAGAGGATGCAGCCTTGCCTGGCTGGCACAAAAGGCAAAGATTTCCATCTCAGCAAATCTGGGGCAAGGCTGTCAAGAAGGCGCATGGATGCTGAAACGGCAACACAGGTGACACATTTGCTCCCAGGGATACCTGAACCACCTGCGCCACAGCCAGCGAGGTGAACGGTGATCAGGTATGGCACGCTGCCGGGCAGCAAACCACTACTGCTCATTTCTATCTTTTCTGATATAGGGGGAAAATAAATGAAAGTCCACTGCCAAGGGGGGCTGTTCCAGGACCAGAGTCATTGCTTTTCCTGTGGCCGCCCAGGTGCCCAGGTGATACTAAAACAGAGCGGCAGCCGCAATGGGGACCGCCAGGCATTTGGGCCCTTTCAGGCTGGACAGGACAGGAGGAAAAGATTCGCCTTCAACTGCAGGACTTGCTTTGAGGCTTTTTTAGTAGCATGCAGAGTAACGTCTAAAGAGACTCAGATGAACAGGACCCAAAGGGTGAAACTGTCTTGGATGAAAAGCACAAGGAATTAATGGGAGAAGAGGAGTGGATTGTAGGAAGATAGAAAAGGGGGAAAGCATTTAAAGGGAAGGGAAGGGAAGGGAAGGGAAGGGAGAGGATAACAAAGGAGGAATGAAATAGGAGAAAAAAGAAAGGAAGGAAGGAAGGAAGGAAGGAAGTTGAAATGATGAAGGAGAATGGTTGAATGGAACAGACTAGATAGGTATTTATTTGTACAGTGATTTTAATGCTGTGAGCTGCCACAATTGCGCTGCAGAGGGGTGGGATATTATTATTATTATTATTATTATTATTATTATTATTATTATTATTATTATTAAATAAAAGAGATATTAAGATAGGCAAGGATTTTGGTGATAACTAATTTGTGCTTCTTGAGAGGTGGCTTGTTAGGTTTGCTAGCGTTTGATAGGCATTTGTATTTGTAGGTATTTTCTACGTAATATGTATGTAAATGTCTTGAATGGGTTGGAGAAACTCTGGGGGTTATGGACTACAACTGTGCAGACTAGCTGGCTGGGGGGATTCTGGGCATTGTAGTCCACAAATCTTTCCCAGCCCCTGGATTTTCCAGGAGAACCATACTGCTCCTTCATTGCCTGCTCACCTGTAGACCCTTCCACGTGGCCGTGAACGTGGCCCTGCTCCACAGAAGAGGCCACGGCGTGGCAAAGCTCCCCGGCCGTGGAAATGAGCCCGTGCGCCACCACGGTCCGTAGTGCTGATCCCTGGCATGTTGGTCCTTTTGGGCAGTACCTGAAAGAAGATTGGGATCTAGTCTTATACAGAGTCAGACCAAATGGTTCCATCTAGGAAGAGTATTGTCAACTCTGACTGGTGACTCCAAGCAGGATTCTTTGCTCCGTGTAAACCCACTTGGGCGACCTTGGGCAAGTCACACTCTCTCAGCCTCAGAGGATGGCAATGGCAAATGAGATGTCCAGCAATGAAAATGAGACCTTTTGCATGTAATGCATTCACTCCCAAGTCCAAATAACTACATTTTTCCTAAGGGCAGGATATCAAGGATGCCCAGGATTGCTTTGCCGAAAAGGCACCCACCTTAATGACGCGGTCCCTGAATATACTCTCATCCAGCTCCATGGCTGCCTTTACTGAGCTCTTGCCAGCAAACTCAATGTAGGCATACCTGCAAGAGGAGAAAAAGAAACCATCAACCTTCCTTTAAAGCCACCTAAAGCTCTTTTGTACTATTTACTGCATGATTTAAAGCCTTTCTCTGCTGCCTCTCAACCCACCAAAGTGATGTAAAATGGGCAAAAAAAACCCATTCAGAACATTAAAGTGAACACATTTAAGGTGCACATGTGATGGAAATGCCCAATAGTAACAAAATTCTGGAAGGAAATATATAAGTCAGCCTGTGAAATGCTTGAGATAAAATTCCAAAGAATACTGGAAATAAATCTACTTACTTTGTTGTTGTTGTTAACTGCCCTCCAGTTGATCTTGACCCATGGAGACCCTCTGGATGAGATATCTCCAAGACCCCTGTCTATCCTCCCCTGCTCTGCTCAATTCAGGACTATGACCCTGGAGACCAGGGTTTGATTCCCAGGTCAGCCATGAGACCCACTGGGTGACCTTAGGCATGCCACACTCTCTCAGCCTCAGGGAAGTCAATGACAAACCTCCTCTGAACAAACCTTGCCAAGAAAAACCCATGATAGGTTTGTTTTAGGGTCGCCATACATTGGAAATGACTTGAAAGTGCACAACAACAACAACAACCCTATACAATTGGGCCAACTAAAAATTACATTGGAACCAGGGATCTACAATGATTGAGGAACTTCCCAAGTTTGGGGGAGCTACTTGTTCCGAGCTGCAACTCCCAAAATCCCCCAAGAGGGAAATTTATCAAGCCCTGAAGTCCAAAAGAGAGCCTTGCCATAGCATCTCATAGTATCTCATTCCCACTTCCCTATGCCACTGCCCTCCCATCCCCAAACCAGTTCTTTCTTTGTTAATTCCCAATCCATACAGACCACTCACCCTTTGGGGTGGCCAGAGAACTTATCGCAGAGGATCGTCACCCGGTTGATCTTCCCGCAGCTGTTGAAATGCGACTCCAGCTCTTCCGCAGTTCCTCCATAATCCACCTGCAAAGACCACAGACTCCGTGTCCATGGCAAACTTTGCTGTTTATATTACATTTTGCTTTATATTATACTATGCTACAGACAGCTTGGTGTAGTGGTCTGAGTGCTGGACTATGACACTGGAGACCAGGGTTCGATTCCCAGCTTGGCCATCTAAACCCATTGGGTGACCTTGGGCATGTCACGCTCTCTCAGCCTCAGAGGAAGGCAATGGCAAACCCTCTCTGGACAAACCTTGCCAAGAAAACCTTGTAATAGGTTCAACACCTTCAGGTCGCCATAAGTCAGGTACGACTTGAAGGTACACAACAACAACAGACAAGAGTGTGTTTGAAGCTGTTTTAACTCTGTAATTCTAACAGAATTGTTTGCTTGTTATTATCATCTTGGGAAAGGTTTTGTGCCAATGGCTTTTTAAGGTATATTTTGCTTTAAATGTCTTTTGGGTCACATGTTTGTTGAAAAGTGGGGGGGGGGGTAGAGAGAAAGAAAGATTGACTACATCTACACTGCAAAATTAAAGCAGTTTGACACTGCTTTAACTGCCATGGCTCAATGGAATGGAATGCTAAGATTTGCAGTTTTGTGAGAAGTTTTGCTTTTCTCTGTCAGAGAGCTCTGGAGCCACGACAAACGACAAATCCCAGGATTCCATTGCATGGAACCATGGCAGTTAAAGTGGTGTCAAACTGCTTTATTTCTACAGTGCAGATACACCCATAGATAAGGCTCCTAGGATCCTGGAGTTGGAAGTGACTCCAATGGGCCATCTAGGCGAACCCTCTGCTCAATGCAGGATCTGCAGCTGAACTAAACCATTCCCAGCAAGGGAGCTTTCCAGCCTCTTCTTATAAACATATAGAGATGGAGACTGGACTGGGACCAGAGGACGAAGAGGCAAGAGCAACTGGGAAAACCTCAAGAGAAGCCAGGAAGACCCCTCAGACTCCCATCTTGCTTACGTTCCCTACGTAGATGGAGCGCTGGTCAGCTTCCACTTTTTCCTCGGTCGTCCTGGGTAAAGCAAGACCTGCAAAGAGGAAACCATCCTGCAGGAGATCTGTAAGTCTTTATGGGAATCACCTACCCAAAATGATTATAATTAAAGAACAAATGGTCATCAAATCCCCTTCATAAGGATGCAGGAGGTCTTAAAAGCCTGGACAATACACATGGGGGGTTAGACTTTGGCACTGATTTAGGGGGGTTGCAGACTGCCAGAAATAGCGCAAATTGAGTCCA